AACTCTGGTTTGTATGGTTTGAAATGCTAGAATAATGTGAGATGCTGATCTCGAAGACAGTCAGTACTGTGTTTGTTTGTGGATCATGTTAATGTGATTCTTTAAACCTGTGTGAAATTAAGAAGAACTGACGACCAAAAAACACTAAAACACTAGCTGGTAAATGATGATAGTTAAGAGAAAAGACTCAAACGGAGACGTTGCTGCAGACAGACGAAGTAATAAGTGTGTGGCCTACGAATACATCATATGTGTCACTCAGCAGGCCTTTGTGATGATAATTTGTAACGGGCAAATGAAACAGCATGCATTACATCAACAAAGAGAAATACGTTAGTCCGAATGGCAGAAGCCACCCTGCTGCTGTGACTCGTGCCAGCACGTGTGTGTGTGTGTGTTTGACAGCTGGGCTTGTGTCTCTGAGTGTGTGTGTGTCTTTGTCACTGGTCTATTTAGTGCATTAGCAGGTCTTTCACAATGCAACAGCTTGAGAATGACCGAGCGACACACACACACACACACACACACACACACACACACACATGCCTGCCCCTCAGCTCTTGTTCTCCGGCTGTTCTGCTCCTGTGCGTGTGATTGTGTACCTGCTGTTCTCCTGAGGTCCACGCAAAAGGCCGGGGTCAGAAAGGTCAGCAGGCAGACGCCTGGTTAACCCTCCAGGGCAAAGACATCTCCCCACACACACACACACACACACCACTTCAGGACAGTAAGATTATATGTGAGCAGATGGACACCAGTGACGGCTTATCATCTGCAGACATACAGCACAAATACATACATTTCTCAGGCAAACACACACAGACTGTTTGTGGTGGGCTGCTTGTACTTGGCAAAAAATAGAAAATAAAGTTGTGGGTAAAGTTTTACATTTCAATGTGAAAACACAAGCATAATTTATATACTATTATAGTTGCTGTTATGTGCTTTTTTTTCATTTGTAATAGTGTTTTATTGCTATTTAGGTTTAATTTATTTTTATTTCAGTATTAGTTTTGGTTTTCATTTATTTCAATTTCAGTAATTAATGCTTCAACTTAAAATTATTTCAGTTAGTTCCCAAGGGAACATTGCTACATTTTGTTTACATTAAGTTTTCATCTAATATTTATATATTTTTATCTAATATTTATATTTAATACATTATTTTTTATTATATTTACTTCTACAGAATTATTATTAGTAAATAATAATTTTTTACATTTTTACTAATACATTTTAGCACACAATTAAAAGTTGTAGTGAACTAACATGAACAAACAACTGATTTAAGCATCAAACTGCAGAATAATGCTCAAACTGATATAATATAATATAATATAATATAATATAATATAATATAATATAATATAATATAATATAATATAATATAATATAATATAATATAATATAATATAATATAATATAATATAATATAATATAATATAATATAATATAATATAATATAATATAATATAATATAATATAATATAATATAATATAATATAATATAATATAATATAATATAATATAATATAATATAATATAATATAATAATAAAACACACACACAAAATACTAAAATAATATAGACCACTAAAATTAACTGGAAAATTGTCTAACCAACTACAACAGATGTAGAAAATTTGCCTTCAAACTCACTATATTTTAATTAGGTCAGATGCCTTTTATACATAGGCCTATTGTTCATTATTGGCTTTGGAGAGTAAATAAAATGGCTGGTAACTTTGGAAAGAACAACAGGCTGATCCGTTGTTTTTTAATCTGATGTAAGTGAATCAAATCAGTGACTCACTTAAGTGACTGGCCCCTACTGATGGAAGTGTTTGTGTTTCTCGTCCTCTGATCTTGCAAAACAAAGAAGAAAAACGTTAAACAAAGAGACAGATATATACTTCTAAATAAAAATGAGGCAAAATACCAACGCAATTTACGCAAACAGAGCTGTTGCGCATCTGCTAGCATTCATTCGCTTCTAAATGAATAAGCGTTTTTAAACGAATTGACTCACTCATGAAGACTCGTCTCGTTCCTCGATTCAGTGTTGTCGAAGAATCGATTGAACGAATGATTCAAAATTCACGTGTAATACATTCCCTCGTCGCCATCTGATGTAACTGCAGAAAGAGTCGCTGTGAAAGCCCATCGCTAATCATTTTGTTTATGTTTCATTCAGTGTTGTGGAACGAATCGATTGAATAAATGAGTCAATATTCACTTATTATACGATCACTTGTCGCCATCTACTGGTGCAATTATGTAACTGCAGAAAGAATCACTGTAAAATCCCCACTAATAATATTCTGCAACAAACACACAGTGATACAAACAGTATAAATACTATTTCCTCGTCTTTTACTGTTGCCAATATTATTTTTTAAAAGATTCGTGAAAAAAACCCCACTTTAAATCTTTAAAAATTAAATTGCTGGACTTTGTCCAGTCACCTAAACAGCAGTGTACAATACAGATTGTGTCAAAGCAGCTTTACAGTGTTAAACAGGAAAATTATGTTTCAAAAATGCAAACAAAACAAAATACAATTCTGCTGCTTTAAATAGAGGACGACAGCAATCAGTCAGTTCATTGCTGAATATGTAATTATTTGATTTTGTCTACGGTAACATACTAAATATCTGCATAGGAGGGTCTATTCAGGATTGAGCACAAACCATTCATTTGTTTTAGTTTCTCACTAGTATTAGGCATGAGGTTAAGAGGAAATGATATAATGTTCAATAAACATGACTGATTATCTCATCATGATTATTATGTGTTCTCTCGTATCAGGGCGTTTGAAGAACGATTCCACCACTAGAGGGAGACAAAGTCAAAGCTATTGAGGTGAGTGACTTGTGTGAAGCAACAATTAACGAAACACTGGCTGAGATTCTTCATTACAGCTCGTCCACTCTTACGAAAAAGATGGTATCAGATGGAAACAGACTTTTAAAAAAAGATAAACAAATAAGTAAAAAATGTGAGAATTTGGATTCATAGAATTTTAGGAATTATAATTATAATATTGAGTTTATATGTTTTTCCTGTGCCCTTATTACTTTCTATTTTGTTGGTCTTTTGTAAAAATCCTTCTAACTAACAAAAGCCAGCTCCCTCATGACATCAGTCCGCAGCACAAATATCAGTAAGTGTTATCAGTGCATGTGAGTATGTGATATGCAATGCAATTCTGGTAGGTTTTGTGAGGCTGGTTTTGTGTCTCTGTAAAACATCCATCATTGAAAATGAATTTCAAGTAGACATCATCATATAGAGTTCAAATTACTGCAGCGCAGGAGTGAATGATCTGAGAAATTAATCGTTTTTCTTCTTTTTTTGAATGAAAAAGACTCTCAGAATGGTAAAGTGGTGTTGCATAGCAGAAGAAACTTCAGCGCTCAGTGTTTGTAGTTCATTGATGTCTGGATCAGCGTTTGCTCAGGAACATCCAAACCTTTCCACATGTAAAGAGACTAATTAGAGTCTATTTGGTAATTAGGTTGAATAGCTTCACACTGAGCCGTCAGTGCAAACATGAGATGAAGATGAAGAGCTTCAGCTGTCTGTGTTTGAGTTCTGGAGATAAAATAATACCATTACAAAATGATAGAAATGTATTATAAATAAATGTTATGTCAAAATAACACAGTTATGGCATCAAAGAGAAAGACCGTGGTACTTTGATATATGAAAGTCAGCTATGGCACACAAATTTACATTTGTGTTTACAAGATTTACCAAGAATAATAAATAAATAAACAATGTTCTGAATACAAAAAAAAAAGGTTGTAATAAAGAAAAAGTATGATTAAAAGTGTTTGTACATATACTTTTTAATGACATATTTTTTTAATTGTTCTTCTGTCATAAACATTTGTTAATTTTAAGAATTAAAAGTTATTTTGATATTTTTGTGGAGCTTAAAAGGAAAATTGTTACGTTTGGAAAATGTAAAAATTATTATTTTTTTAGTTCATTAAAAACAAAAGATGGAAATAAATGTTGGCATAGTTGTGTAATAATCTTTTATCATTATTTCTCATTAAAAAGCAGTCTGTGCATACATGCATGAAGCCATTTTGTTGTCATGTGATGTCATGCATACCCATGTGACCCCTCTTAGACCCTCATGACCTTACCAAGTCTTTTTCATTATTAATAAAGTATTTTGATCTTTTTATACAGTAACACTGAGAAACCTGACATTCATGACAGAACAGAAGTTCATGATGATGATGATTATGATTACTATTAATTAAGATGTATTCCATGTATTTAAGATGCAAGGAACGTTTAGTAAAAAAAAAGGTTTTTAACAGAATGTAACCAACATTATACAAAGATGACATTTTTTATGTCTTGCTGAACGTTTATTATTATTATTATTATATGCTGTTTGTTTCACTGTTAAACTTGTATTCTATTAACATTCTTGCAATTTTATTTGATTTATTTTTAATATAATTTTTTTTTCTTTCGTTCTTTTCTGCCTCAGTTTGTTTCTGTGTGCACTGATGCTTTGGCAGTATTGATTATTATTATTTTTATTATTATTATTATTATTATTATATGCTGTTTGTTTAACTGTTAAACTTGTATTCTATTAACTTTCTTGCAATTTTATTTTATTTATTTTTATTATTATTAAATTTTTTTCTTTCGTTCTGTTCTGCCTCAGTTTGTTTCTGTGTGCACTGATGCTTTGGCAGTATTGATTATTATTATTTTTATTATTATTATTATTATTATTATATGCTGTTTGTTTAACTGTTAAACTTGTATTCTATTAACTTTCTTGCAATTTTATTTTATTTATTTTTATTATTATTAAATTTTTTTCTTTCGTTCTGTTCTGCCTCAGTTTGTTTCTGTGTGCACTGATGCTTTGGCAGTATTGCAACAAGCATGACAATAAAAGTAGGCTACTTTGAATCTGAGAACTAAAGCTGAACTGAGAGAGAGAGAGAGAGAGAGACAGAGAGAGAGAGAGAGAGAGATTGGTTGGTGAGGAGGAGGGGATAAGTTTGATTTGGGACTCTGCTCCTCCGCTCCTCCGCTGGTATCCCAGGAATGTGTTGATCATGGCGGCCGCAGTGAAGCCCGTGAAGAGCGGACTGCTGGAGCTCCGCGTTACCCTGCACCACTGGATCCGTGTGCTCGCCGCTCTCAGCGAGGACTCGTTCACCGTGAGCCCCGGAGACACCGCCGATGAGCCCGCGGCCGGTGGGGCTGTTAACGGCGATCCGGCGAACCCCAGCGCCTCGCCGGTACCGGACACCATCACGAACGTCAAACGAACCGTCAGAGTCACCAAACAAGAAGTTGGAGGACTCGGAATAAGTATTAAAGGTACGAGAACTCGTTTATATTCGGTTATTAAAGTGTTCTTGGATTACTTCAATTTATTCTTCGTGAAACAGTTACTTTGAAACTGAAGAACGGTTTGATCCGTCGGTTCAGTTATGAAGGTGGAGAATATCTATCTATCTATCTATCATACATAATCTATCTATCTATCTATCTATCTATCTATCTATCTATCAACTTAGCTTCTTGTACTATGCATTAGTAAGGTATTCTTTTACATTTCTATGGTAAAGTTGTGGTGCCATATACTTGTGGTACTGAAAATAATGCCATGGTTTTATTTTGGTTTCTCCAAGAATACTATGGTACAATGTCCAAAATGT